GCTTACATATGAAAAAAATATCTAACTTGATAGAAGTTTTCCAGATTTGAAAAAAATCTTCAAAATTCTTACAGTATTACCAATAGTGAGTTTTGAAGCTGGAGGTTTTCAAAAATATCAACAACTATAATATTGACTAATCATTTTTGTCTTTCATCATGGTAGGAAGATTGAATTTTCTTTCTATTCCTACTAAAACTTCACATTATAAAAGCTGTTATATGGTAAGATAATGTAGAAAAAAAGCATTATAAAGTGTGTCAACAGTTAATTAACAAATTCATATATTTTTAGAAAAAGTTCTCGGGGTGTTCTATTAGTCACCCTGACTGTGGGAAATGGGCACTCATGGATAAATCAGTGAGGGTCACAGCTCTTGGCCATGAGAACAGGTCTTTAGAGCCAGAAAAACCCTTGACTCATGAAACACAGACACAAAATACACACACACACAACACACACATGCACACACAAACATTTATAGACAAATGCACGCGTATGCATACACACTTTCACAGTATTCACATATAAGTGTACACTCAACACACACACACACACTACATTACCATATAAATACTTAGCACAGGAGAATAGCAGGCCCCCAGGTGTGGGAAGATGGCCTGACACTTAGTCTGAGTTGTTAGTAATTGATGGCACAATTTTGTCTAAATCTCTTAAACCCTTTGTCTCCAGATCCCAAGACTGAGTTGAAGCAAACCATCTGTAAGTCTCTTTCAGTTGTAAATTCTGTGATTTCAGGGGGACAAGGAACATCATCTACCCAGAGCTGGCCTTAGGCCCTTCTCTGTGCCCCTGACAGGAGCCCTGCAGGCCGGAGTTACAGCCTTGGGCACTGGCCAGGCCCCCTCACCAAACATCAGTCCCTAGAGGCAGGGCACATCACAGCCCCATCTGTGGGGAAACTCTGCTCTAGAAACTTGTGGAACTTCTTTCCTGCCCCTCCTCCCTATGCCCACAGTCTTCTTCATTCCTTAGGAGCAAAGACTTGGCTCTGTGAGCAACAGTAATGATCAGCAAGCAACTGAGGCTGGGGTTTGGGGAGATTAGCAGCTGTCCCCTGGTTCATTTCCTGCTCCTGCCACACACATTTCCAGAGGTGCCCAT